GACAGAAGGGTTTGAGATTAATACAGGACTCAGACAGGAGGACCGATTATCTAAACTTTTATTTAATATGACCCTAGAAAGAATCATTATTGAAAGTCAGCTTAATAGATCAGGAAGTATCATTTAAAAGTCACCAGCTAACTGCCTATGCTGATGATATCGCCATAATAGCTAGGAATAAAAGGACAATGGAAAAAGTGGTAGAGCAGTTTATACAAATTGCAGCAAAAATAGGATTGAAGGTAAACGAGGAAAAGAGTAAATTTATGATAATAGAGACCTGTCAAGCGAAAACGAGGCTAGAAATAACAGTAAGCACAGAAAAAAGATTTTTGAGGAGGTGGATACTCAGTTTGTGTATTTAGGATCGCTGATTAGTAATAAAATAAATGAGGAAACAGAAGTAGACTACAGCAACGGTAAGGCCAATAAATGTGCGGGAATGCTCAACGAAATATTAAGTCAAGAAGTGTATCTAGAGTCTCCAAAATAAGGCTATACAATACGATAATCAAGCTAACCCTTTTGTATGGAGGAGAAACCTGGGCAATTGATAAAAAACTCGAAGAAACATTACTTAAGTGGAAGAGGAAAATTTTAAGGAGAATATATGGAGGGATCAAAGTGGAGGGAGGATATGTTAGTTCTAATGCGGAAATCAGTCATCTATATGATGAACCAAACATAATAGAAGTAGCTAGGACCAAAAGATTTCAGTGGCTGGGGTACCTGGAAAGAATGCCACAAGAAAGACCAGTGAAGCATATAGCATGGAGAGTTCCGGAGACCAAGAAGAAAAGAGGGAGACCAAGAGGAAGATGGAAGGATGCGGTTATGGAAGATTTGAGGAGTAGGAATATCAGAGACTGAAAGAAACGAGCATTAAACGAGAAGTGGTGGAATAAACTTATTAAGCTTAGGGCCTAAAGACCTGTTCTATAGCTGTATATATATATATTTGTGTTAGGATTAAACACCGATTTCGGCCAATGGTCGAAAAAAACGACCAGAACGCGTTCTGGCCACCAGCATATTGCCGATGTCCGAAAAATCGCTTTCTGGCCGGTTAGTATAAATCAAAATGCGTTCTGGCTATTGTCATATTGCCAGAACGCGTCGAGCATACAAACAAAACGTCCAAAGGCCAATTTAATATAAAAAAATATATTTGATTGCTTATATAACAAGTTTCAAAATAAAAGATAAATAAATAACTTCAGTTTTAACAGAAACAGAAAACATTTACTATATAATAACTTGTGCTCGTGGTATCGACATACCTACATCTACTTATTTTTACACGAACCTATCCATGGCACTAGTAGACATTCTTGTACAGGTTAACCGACGCGACGTACATCGACTACGCGATGATTATTTACTGCGAGTTGTAGACAGTAGGGTGGTTTGGATTCGATACAAGCTTAGACTCGTAGAAAATCGGGTTTTGGACGTTTTGTTTGTATGCTCGACGCGTTCTGGCAATATGACGATAGCCAGAACGCATTTTGATCTATACTAAATGGGCAGAAAGCGATTTTTCGGACATTGGCAATATGCTGGTGGCCAGAACGCGTTCTGGTCCTTTTTTTCGACCATTGGCCGAAATTGGTGTTTGACCCTAACATATATATAAATATAATTGTAGAGTGGTATAATGATAGAATAAGGTTGATTAATCAACGCACTTATTTTCGTTGCATTGTAGATTCTTAGCAATTCAAATTCAGGGATAAATTTTATATTTGTTTAAATCACAGTGAGACAACTTTGCTTTATTGCCATGCAACTTCAATACATTCTCTATAAGGTAAGCACCAGCCGACAGTCGTTGGACGTCTGGGAGCTGTAGAACAGATTTTTATAAAAACAATATTTTCAAAAGCACCAATCTTAGATATTTTGACTTGAAATTTATCGGGCTTTCTTTAGTGTGTTAAAGCACATATGATTAGAGATCAGTGTCGTCTCAAAAGAGGCGATCAAGGTAAAAGTAAATTGTCAGATTTACACTGGATTTATTGATTTTGGTGTTAAAAAAAAGGGACCAATGTTCATTTAATTGGCGATAAGATAACTGATGAAAAAATAGAAGTGATTTTTAACCCCATTTTTGACCAGTTCAGTAACTCTCCTTATACGTTTTAACCAAATAATTTGTCCACTTAAAATTTCCCCGGAACTTAGCTCGATTTTCGCTAGATAACTTCAATTAACTAGGAATATCTGTTTCGCATATATTTAATCTTTCCATTTGAAAATCTAAATACTCCCTTTTGCCCTCTCTTTTGCAACCGCACTTGTCCCGCAAGGTTTTCCGATACAACTCCCAGCTACCGCTGCCGTCTCCGTCTACGTCGTAGGCTCCTTCCTCTTCCCGGCACTCCAGCTCCTAATCAGCTCCGGTCCGGGAGTTGCGCCGGCAACTCCTCTTTCCACACCCCGCACTGAAACTCCCTGCAACTCCCTCTGCCGTCTAAAGCTCATTTCCGGCGTTCGTCGCCTGTGCGATATTAATTTTAAATTAAACCCGGATAAAACCCTCCCGGATTATCTCTGATGTAGTAGCTGGCGCGAAGAGCAGCGGCTGAGGCGGAAATGACGGGGTCTTGAGGTAGATTGCCGTTAACATCTGACAAGCAGACTGGCGGGGCTAGAGTTGTAGATGGTAGAAACACCGGTGAATGTTTACATCCTTTGACAATAAAAAGAAAAACTTCCCACGGGTCTGAATTGAACACACGACCTTCTGCATTCCAGGCAGACCCTTGAAGGTCCACATTGTCTGGCTACATCGACCAAATCTGCTACGATTTTCGTACGATCTCTATAAACACTGAATTCATCTCAATGCCTCCATATCCCGAATATTGCAGGTCGTGAGTGCGGCACGGAAGAATCTAGTACCATTCTCCCAGATATAATTATCGTAGTGGATAGCATCATTGATCAATGCATTCTAGCTGACAATTGCCAGCATCCAAGACGGGACCTGAAAAAATTTAAAAATAGGGAAACAGAATTGAATTCATAAATTTACTTGAAAAGATAATATTTGGTTTTGTTATGGTCTCATAGATGACTCTGTTAACCCCCTCTTTTGGTGGCTCCTAATTTCTATTGTATTTGGGTATCTTTGGACATTGACTAACGTATGCCACCTGAAGATATCCAATTAAAATAGGCATTAGATACCCTAGCGACATCTGTGAGACAGTAGGAGAACCAAGAACTCTAACTATTTTCTGGATTCATTTTGTGTTCTGCTGCTGTCTTATAGATGGCGCTAATATATTTCAGATCCAGAGTGCCGGTGATATACACTACAGCAATCATTTTTTCCATCCCTTCTAACAGATGCGCAACTTGAAAATTGTAACGAGGAATTTTTTGCTCAAATAGAAATACGGCTTCACGACACTTTAGCATTTTTTATAGAAATTAGAATCCAAAATTACCAATATGTATCGAGTTTTATTCACTTATAACATTAGAAAAAGAAATTTTACATTGAGAAACTTCAAGGCTTATAATAAATGTTGTCAAGGAACTTCGGAATTCTTTGCGCAACTGCAGTCTCGATGAAAACTCCGTTTCTCAGCTAGACTGGGTGCGTGGATCACGAATATGTTATTAGTTTTTCTTTGATATCGAGCGAAATCTCGAAATGTCCCATTTTTCTACTGACTTTTTAGCATTTTTCCATAGCCATACTCTAAATGTCTAAATCCACGTGCCAACTTACCCCAGCGTACAGAGTGACGTTCGGAGATTGGAATTGGAAATTGGAGGTGCTTCTACACGACCAATATTTTTGTTGCTATACTCGTACGTGCTATGATACTATGGGCCAGTCAGCAATCTGAAATTCGGCGTAATAAATTCATGAATACTCTTTTTTTAGTGTTGAAGTGTCAGTTGGCGCGCAGCCGCCGCCCTGAAAGATTTTCTCAAATGGTTTGTGGATCATGATTCACCTTGTTTTGAAGCACTTTTTGAGTATTGTGTATTACTGTAGCTCTTTAAAAATGGCGGACTGGCATGCTGTTGATGCTGAGCAGATTTGTACATTGAGTTGCTTCCGTTTAAAAGCATGCCAAATTCTGGCAATTTTGTTAATTGAAAATAAGCAATTCAATACATAAAAACGCTCCTAACAGCTCGACGTTCGCCATTTTGAAAGTCAGTGAATCTATATTTTAGGGTTATAAGCTACAAATTACGTATGAGGATCTTCAAAATCAGGTAACACATGACCCTTCATTCCATTTGAAAAAGTGTTCCATACTGGTGCCGAGCCGCCATCTTGAATTTCTAAACTGATACTTCAAAAATAAGTAGGGGGCCTTTTAGAAAAGCACAGCATATTCCTGCTAACCACGTTCCACAATTCAAATGTATTTCGTTGATCAATCAAATTTCTGTCATTAGGCCAAGTAGTCATTTCCATGTTTCAAAATATTACTTACTTTAGAGATTAGTACTTTGAACCCATCATGACACTGATAGATACAGAAAATAAAATGTTGAGTTTGCGAAATAAACCTTCTGTAAAGTTATTTTTACTTCCAATGCTTAATAAAATTATAAAATAAGGTGACTTCAATTTGAAAAAATGATTTTTAGAATCCTGAACTTTTTGGTACTTGTAATCCTAAAATAATAATAAATTTTTCTAAAATAGGTGCAATTCTATAAGAAAACCGTTGTAAGTCGTGTGACAAAGCCACATACTATGTATACAGGAAAGCTTAATAAGCATTTATATGCAGTTGCGGATAATGTTCATAAAACTTTAGATATCTCAAAAATGTATCATTTTATTAGAATTGCTCCCATCATTATACTATAATTCAAAATTTTCGTAATAGTCTAAGGTCAACTTCTCCAGTAATACACCTAGATCCTCGCATTTTTTTGTGGGTCATCAGGTATATTTTTGCTAGGAACGCGTTAAGAAATTTTATTCAAACAAGGTTTTCGTGAAGCAATATTAACAGTATTGTGTACTGAAATATTTAATAATTATAATTATTTTACAAAAAGAATATAATCTTTGAAAACATAAAAGTAACTTAGTTATTTACAGTATCAGATTTGGGTTCTACAAGTCGAGTCATTTCTACATTTAAGTTAGGATTGATGGTGTGTTTTGTTTTAAAAAACATAATATACCCATGAAGAAGCATCAAACCTACCATTACCGTTAACAACACAGCAATGAAAGTTAATACTGGTATATATTCTCGTGAAGTTGCATTTTCAGTGTGAGAGCGTAACTCCTCTGCTTTGCCTTTTATTTGTTGTTTCTCAGAATTTTCCGACTGCTCATGTATATCTGCACTCATTTCATGGTCTTTATCTATTTCTTTTAAAGTTCCTAGAACTTGATTCATACCACGTGCTATATCTGATAGCTCTTTCTTAATACCAATACCTATGCCAGAAAGCTCTCTCAATCCTTTATCACGGTTCATGTCTCTATTTTTTGTTGAGTTTATGATTTGCTTCAGGCTTGTTAGTATGTCTTGTGTTGTTTTTGAGTAATCCTTCAACGTTTGATTGATATCAATATAGCCGTCAATTCTTAGTTGACTAATTTTACCAACAACTTTTTTTATAGTGTCTGTTTGAGCTTTATCAGTGTCTGTCATTTCATTGATCAACTGTCCAAGGCTACCTATAGTATCAGTAAGGTTACGTAGCAAGTTATAGTCTTTGGATTCACTGTCGCTATTTTTCAAGTTCTCTAAATATTGAACAAAGTTGCTGTTTCTAAATTCTTTATTGAAGTAATTCACTAGAGTCGCGTAAGCCTCGTTAATCTCAGGACTCTCTGACTTTTCTTTAATGTTAACAGAATCAACGTATGCACTGCAATTCATACCATATACATTATTACCCCCAGTAAATCGCCCCCGTTCAAATGACACATTCTGTAGTTCTAGATTGTGACAAACTTCTAGAAGACTGTGACAAGTAAATGCATTGTCCCGCATATCAGCCTTTTCCAGATTAGGTAAATGTTTCAATAAAGTACTAACGTTTAATTCAGTTAAATCGTTATTACGAAAATACAGATTTTTCAAACTTTTCATTGAATGAAATATATATATGGGCAAGACCTTGAATCTGTTGTACGAAATACTCAGCGTTCTCAATCTCTGCAAAGCATCGAATGTTCCAAAAGCGAATTCGGATAGTCTGTTTTTAGACAAATCTAGAACCTCTAGATTCGTAACTTTTCCGAAACATTCTATAGGAATATTCGAGATGCTGTTGTTACTGAGAATAAGCTCTCGTAGATTATTTCCAGTTATTGGGCTATTTGGCAAATTTGATATTTGGTTACTTCCAATATTCAGTAATTTCAGTTGTTTCAAATCATCTGGAAATGTTTTTATTTCATTGTTGTGAATATCCAGCTCCACCAATGTAACATTTTGAAAGTCAATATTTCTAATCAGGTTGTCAGCTATATAAAGTTTCACAATATTAGGAAAATAAGTCAAATTTATCCTATCAATCTCGTTATTACTTATTTTCAGAAAAGTGGTCGTAAAATTCTTGGATGGAATAGATTTGATAGAATTATGAGACAAGTCCAAGACGTCCACATTCATAACAGAGCCTGGTATCAATGAGATATCGTTGAAACTTACATTCAGTGTTTTCAATGGTACACTAGAAAATGCATCTTCACTGAGGTTTGAAATTACATTTTCTGATAGGTCTAATTCTCTTAAGTGTATGAGTGAATTGAAAATTCCATCACCAATAAAAGATAAGCTGTTATTATTCAGGAAAATGGAATGAATTGAAAATTGATGGTTGAATGCACCTGGTATTATTTTTGTTATACCCAAGTCTTCTAAATGCAGATCTGATACATTATAATTGGTTTTAAATGACGAGCCTGGCAATATTCCAATTTCAGCAGAATCAAATCGTAACACAACTTCATCGTCCGGACAGAAATCTGTCGAATGAACAGTGTAGTCACCCATGTTGGTATAGTGGCATGTTATGTCAAGGCTTGTACCATCGCACGAGGTACGGTACTGACCATATTGGTCATAGTATTGATGTATCTGTCTATTAACAAAAGGTACATTACACTTCGAAGCCATGCTGTCGATCAGAAATGCCATCCAGAAGAATATTGTCCACATGCTGGTGCCCCTGTAAAAAGCAGTCTTAAATTAACCAATATAATAGCGAAAGGTTAGACAGATTAGTGTTGCAGTTGCTTTAGAAAGCAGCTGATTAGCACAAAGTGAGTAAGTAACTTCGGAAGACATACTTGTTTGTCGATAATGTTTAACTTGGAATTCAAAATTCTACTGGGTGAGACAGCGATACTAACGATTGTAAAATATGATTTACCCAATTAAGATCTATATGAAAACGCACTTGAGTTGAAGTTTAAAATAAGGCTTATTTATAAAAATAATGTGGCGGAAGTTTGAAAGTCGCACCAAACTGTAGCTTTTATGAATGTGTTGTATAAGCATGTCATAGAACGTTTACATACCTATTGTACAGTTTGAGCATAACTGGAATACACGAACGTTAAACTTTAAACAAGGATGAAGTTGACTAAGATTTGTCAGCTGTAACTGTAAAGCAAAAGCGGAGAGAGACTAATGTTAAACAAACTATGTACAAATGAGTTAATGTATCAATATCAATTATGATATGATTAATCTTTTGCCGGAAGGCCCTTATCATAAATTGTGTCGTCTGGTATTCACCAATTTACTTATTATTGAGCGTATGGCGCACATTTTACTTGTATACAGGGTCTTCAAAGTTGATTCATTTATTTTAACAGCTTGTAGAATTCATCAAAAAAAGTTGATATACCAAAAATCACCTATATAAAAGTTGCATAACAAGAGAGTTAGTTTACATTACTAAAAATAATTTGAAAAATCATTATCAAGTTGAATGGATACCGTTTTTAAAAAAATTGTTCATTAAAATTTCCCCGTTTGTTGGATTAGCGCAAAATCTTACTCTTACTAATAAAATCCTGGGGTCCACGAATTAAATCACACGCATATTCACTCTTTCAAATAGCCCCACAGAAAAAAATCGCAAGTACTTAAATCCAGGGAGCGAGCAGGTCAAGAAATGGATCCATTGCCCCCTATCCATCTATTCGGAGACTCATTATTTAGATGTTCATGAACTTCTCGTCTAAAATGTGGTGGAGCCACATCATGTAGGAACCACATTTAGAGGAACATCTTCTAATAATTGTGGCAGATTGAGTCAAAGAAAATGTAAATAAATTTCATCGGTCAATCGAGGTGGAAAAAAGTAGGGTCCAATAAGCATGCCATTTACCACGTCAGCCCAAACATTTAATGAAAATCTATGTACTTTTTATTGCATGGACATGGGCCATTTTACCACACAAAATAATCAGACAAATGAAAGTATACGCACTATTATATAAAAGATTGATAAAATTGATTGAACCAGAGACTCGAACTGAAAACCGTGCAATAACACAAAAAATTGCCAAATTTAGATAATCGATAAGAGTAGTAAACAAAAAACGCTTAGCTTTTACATGACAGTGATCGAGAATATCAAAAAATCTGTGTAACATTATTATTTTTTAATTTTTTTTATCTTTTACTATTTCTTTTATTATTGAATTTTTATATAGGTGATTTTTGGTATATCACCTCCTTTTGACTAGTCTTATAAGCAGTCAAAATGGATGACTCAACTTTGAAAACACCCTGTATACTCACATAATTATCATGTCGTGCTTAGATGCCGGATGCTACATTTGCCTCGCCAGCTGGCTACATGCTTAGAATTTTAGCACAAGCAGCAGGCAACTATGCAATCCATGGGTTAGGGTGCTACGGAGGAAAGAAAATGGCCGCGCTATATTCGATTGCCGATGTATTACTTCTAGGTCTTACCTGCGTTCGGAAAACCGCAAAACTAAAATTAAAAGCCAACTGTTAAAGTCATAGTCCGTGATTTATTATCATCATAACAAAGACAACGCACAAATGCAAGTAACAATTGAATTCGCATTTAGAGGCTCTAGCCTACCTATATCATAGTACAGTGGTGAAGTAAAACGGTGCCTATGAGATCTTTACTTAGACTGAAGCAGCCGCGCAAGCAGAAGTCTAAATGCCAGGGCACCACGGCTAACTTTGTTAATCCGATTTTCGAACTACCTAAGGTTAGTAGAACTGGGAAAAGCCTTCTCATGTAGATTATTCGACCAGCTCGATTCTCTAGGGATAAAGGAGTGGTCGAGTCGACCAGTTCTGAATATACGAAGTTCGACACGGCTAGGATGGGATGCTGTCCAATAATATAAATAACTGGGGGTTGGTTACCTACAGCTAAACATCTAGAAAAAGGTGCGGGCTACACCAAACTTTATAAGTAAGTACCTATTATTTACCCTTATTGTACACAAGAACTAGTTACGTTGCTGTTTCACTAATCTAACTGAACACAAGACCTAGTTATGTGGTTGTTTCTCTAATCAACTATACACCAAAACTAATTTCGTGCTTGTTTCAGCATTTGGAAACAAGACCAATATTCTCAATCTTATACCTTAATATGTACTGTATTTCCTGGGTTTCACCTGAAGGAGATCCTCTAGATCAGGGCTGTCCAACTTAATACGGCCCAAGGGCCACTTCAAAAAAAAATGCAGTTTGGAGGGCCGCATTATAAAATCTTTCTATACAACATTATTACTGAGTTTTAATATGTATATACTATACTATATGGTATACAAAAATAGTTTTTCTATTATTTTTATTTATTCAAAAAATATGAAATTACAAAATAATCAGTGGGACATTTGAGGATGTTGGTTTTCCAATACTAATGCATCAAAATTAACATTAATATTTGTTGTTGATAAACGAAGTAACTGAGTAAGTGACTTATCAGAGAGGGAACATCTATACTTTGAGTTGATAAATTTCATGTTGGAAAAGCTGCTTTCGCAAAGATACGAGCTTCCCATCATTGATCCCATTGTTAGTCCTAAGTTTCGCAATTTGGGGTATCGTTCTCCTGGCAGTAACTTGAAAAGTCCAAGCCAGTTTCAGTTCTTCCTTGGTAAAAATGATCTGATTGCAAATCACACAATTACAGTTGAAGGTCTGATCTGCTTACGTTCTCAACAGAAATTGTAAGTGGCTGAGTAAAAACTGAAATGTCGCTTTCGATTTTTTTTAAAGTCACTAAATCGATTTTTGAATTCTTCTGCAATTGTGTCAATGTATTTTATATGAGGTAAATATGAAACTTAATCCAAAATCCTTCATTTCTTCGAAATGTTCTTTACAACTTGGAAAAAATGAAAAATCATTTTTTTGTAATGAAGACTTGAAAAGCTTAATTTTTGTTGTTTTCCTTGTAGCTTCAAATTCAATTCGTTAAGGTGAGATGCCATGTCTGTTAAAAATGCAAGGTCTGCTAAAAATTGTGCATCTGCCATTTGATTTTCCAGTTCCGTAGTGTCGGACTTCACTTCATTTTTAAGGAAAATAGGAATTTCCTTGCGTAGAGCGAAAAATCGTTGCAAACACTTTCCGGCGCTTAACCAACGAACATCGGTGTGAAGTAACAAGTCCCCATATGTAGCATCCACTTCGGCCAAAAAATCACGAAACTTTCTGTGAGTCAAAGCACGATTGCCCCCTCTAACAATATTAGTTATTTTAACAGCCACGTTCATAACATTTATTTGACGTAAAGATTTTCCACATAAGCTCTCTTGGTGAACAATGCAATGTATCATAGGACAGTTGATGCTGTTTTGTTTCAATAGTCCTGCAAATCCAATTTCAGTCCCTGTCATAGCTCTAGCGCCATCAGTGACAATACAGGAACATTTATCAAATCCCCCGTAGTCTGACACCAACTTATTCACAGTTTCAAAAATATCTGTACCCTTGGTTGTACCATGGAGAGGAATAAGGTCAAGCATCTCCTCTGCTACACTGAATTCGTCTTGAATAGTTCGGATAAAAATTACTGGCTGATGTCAGACAGATCAGTGCTTTCATCCAGGCATAGCTAAAAATATTTACATTTTTCAACCACGTCACGCAATTTTTTGGATACATGTTCATTGATATGGTCCACCCCACCCGTCTTGCAATTGTTTCATGCGATACTGAGACTATTTCAAATTTTTCGGCAACTTTTAATTCATTGAATTGTTTCGCCTTTTCTATTGCACACTTTTTGATAAGCACTCCATCACTAAAAGGTTTTATTGCTTTGGCAATTTCCAGCGCTATTTTGTAAGAGGCGGCAATACTGCACTTGTTATCAGAGTCAGATTTTTTGAAAAAACTTGTGTGTTGTTTTAGTTTTTTCTTGTATTCCGTTATGATAGCCTGCCTCGAGTCCCCTGAATATTGCCTAAACGTTGTCTCGTGTAACGTAGTGTAATGTCGTTTCATATTATATTCTTTAGCAATCGATAGTACTTGCATACAAATAATGCACTGAAGTTTATTATTATTGTTTGAGATTAAATATTCTGATTCCCAACGGTCATTATAAACTCGATGTTCGTTCGTTATTTTTCGTTTCTGTGAAGACATATTTCACGGAGTATTTCACTTAAAAAGGCTTTAGAATTGCTGTGGACTGAAACGCATTAGCACTAGAACAAAACTGCCTGTCCTGCTTGATTCAACCTTCTTATGTACGCGCCCGTGGCTTCTCGAATATTCAGGGATGATCGAGAGATCGGTCCAATTTCCAGTAAATTCGCTGAGGCCTGCTACCGGTCGCCAGTGGTGTCACATGTTATTGTATTTTATCGTTAATGTAAGAATTGTGCATATTCGGTATTTGAGAGTAATCTATACATATATACATGACCCATGAAGCGGGCCGTATGTTGGACATCCCTGCTCTAGATGGTCGGCCCTTGTATAGAAGCTCGTAAGGAGTATTTGGGGTTGCTTGGGGCCGACCAGACATGGGGTTCACGGGTTGCCATGTGCAACGCGGCAAATCTACCTTCAAAGTCGGACCAACTGCTCAGAAAATCAATTTCACATCAAGATTCATTATACAAAAGATCCCAAGTAAGAATAAGACGGGGAAGGAAAAAAGCCTGTGAACAGAATCAAGCATATATTACACTGTCATGGCCTACATAAGTGACTAGCCACTTGGGAGTTCCGAGTATGGAATGCTTGCAGCAACAAAGAGAGGTCTACGCTGTAAGTTGTATACTATAGTAAGAAGGAAACGGCAGTGCATATGTGCGAGGTCAGGATTTGTGTGCTAATAATATGTGTTGATGTTAATTCCATTAGTTTCTTTTAATAAGATAACATAAGAAAAGAAAATCCCTGGTTTGTGAAGGAACAGGTGAGAAAATATGCTACAGACAGGAACATTTATGAAAGTTAAAAGGTTGTTACATTCTTTTTTATTTCCAGTCATTTAAATGTTATAGAAATTTATTTTGCGATGTCAATAGAAAATAAAAATTAGCGCCTAGATTGCGAAAATTTTTGATGTGTGATGCATCATTCCTAATTTTTCTGTGATGTGGCTTAACTGCACACAACGCGGGCACGGTGGCGATTTCCTGTAGTGCTCCTCAAAGTTTTCGAAAACACAAAAAAAAGCGGGAAAAATCGTGA